GAAAATCCTCGGAAAAATTATGTATTATCATAGTAACTATAAAAAAAGCAAAACTTCAGGCATGCAGACAGTCTTTAGCTTTATATTTTATCATTACAAGTATACAGGGTGATTTTTAACAAGGTATTAGACCCAAGTCGATTTAAATGGCTTGGTTGTGTCGATTACAACAAGCTTAACGTCTGAAGTGAAAAATTACGGAGTTACAGGATGTTAAAGATTATCTATATTTTCAAGTTTAAATCATTAAATACTTAACAAAACGACTTGCATGCCTTTGCATAATGAAAATATAAAAACAGGCAGGTTATTCGAAAATTACGAATATTTTATTATCCTATATTCATATCATATTGTTTTGAGAAGCCCTTGAAAAATCAAGAGAGGAACAGGTAAGCTGTAAACTATAAAAATATTAACAAATGTTTCGTGAAAATTAAATTACAATAATATGTCTGCTCGACTTATGTTAAATATTTGAAACCAATAACATGAAATAGTATATTACATTACGAGTGTGGAAAATCACTTTTCTCACAAGTGATGTACAATATTTTTCCTACGACCACAAAATAATTTCATCAAAAAATGTAAAACCAGATTATTATAATAATTAAAATGTATTTAAAAAAATAATCAACAATAATCGTATTTATTAAATTTTCATAATTTCTAAACAATTAAAAAAAAAATAAAAAAAAAATTCTGGCACAGCCAGGATTCGATCGCGGTCGTTGGACGGTCTCAAATTGCAAAGTTGATGCTCTAACCAACTGAGCTAACAGGCCTTACGGTAATTGATTGATCTAATCGCTTATGTGTTTAACCAGAATAAAAAGCAAATATATCTTAGTTATTTTAAAATTATTTTAAAAATAATTGTTAAAGATAAATATCTAGGATCTAATTTACAATAATTTAACAATCATATCGATTTTAGTATTAATATGGACATTACATAAATCAAAATAGAAATTATGTGTTTGACATTTTCTGACAGCTACTGCGGAAAGTAGCATATTCTCACTTGGGTGGAAAGTAAATTCTTATTCATACGCGTGTGATATAGGGCACTTTCCATAGGTCTATATAGTGTGATATGTGTCACTTTCCTAAGTGGTCGTAGGAAAATACTATTTCTTATATGAATGAGTACCAATAAGTAGATATGACATTTATACTTCATTGTGTGCATAACTATTACTCAATGGATTTCCTTGAAGAAAACTCAATGAAACAGTAGTTAAGAAATGGATAATTTCCCAGATTTTTCTCCTCATTGACTGCTTCATTCTGAGGCTCCATTAAATGTTTTTAATTTCTATTTATACCAAAAACTATGTCAGTTTGACAAAGTTTGGTATTGGCTATTTAAAATATTAATGTATATTTATAATCCTTTTCAATAAAGAACTCACAAGCTATTTATTTTCTAATATTTGGCAATAATTTTATATATTGTTGATTTTTCCACCTTGCAAGTTCAATTGTAACCATCCTTCAAGGGATGCGACTTAAAACAAAATGTATTGGGGGCTTCACCTCATTGGTGGCGTGAATGGAGCTCATAATCTTATTTAAATATACAATACAAAGAGGCACTTATGACAATACTCGAGCCAAATTAACCTGTAATCCGATCATAAATCATTTTTGCATATCCTACTGAGACCTATCATATAATCAACTTTTTGTACCGAAATAAAGTATGACCCTGTATATGGACTTTTTTTGATGAACAACAATTATTTTCTATTTTTTGGCAACAATTTCAACATTTTGTTGATTTAACTTACATATTAAACCGCGATCACCCTGTAAGTACGATTTTTTTTCCTTTGCAAATAGTAGTAGAATATACGAGCCCCTTCCCATTTTAGTTGGCCCACCTATTGATATTTTCATTATATAACGACAACAAGAAAGTGTTAAAGATTACATGTTCTTTTAAATCATAAATTAGTTAACAATGCATCATTTTAGAATTATATTAGAACTAGAATTAGAAAACATAAACTTTTTTACTTATTTTTATATTTATGGAGCAATATTGCAATATTTTAACTTGAATTCAATTCGTTAGAAAATAAGCTAGAATCGAAGGTAGCTTTGAAAAAATAACAAACAATAATGCAGATAACTGTCACAAGACAATTTAACTTCTTTTAAGCTAATTCTGTCTAGTAAAGTGGGCAGAGGAAAAATAATTGACGAAAAAATACGTTTTCTTTTTATAAAACATTGCAATTCTGGAAAATCGACCTCGAAAATTACAAATATATTAGATTAATCGCGATAAAGTACAAGAAATTTAGTTAGAAGATTCAAAACTACTGGTTTAATCAGGCCAAAGCCCCGTCATATCAGAAAAAGCAAGATTACAAATGCCGATAGACGAGCATTGAGAAGAATTATTGAAACCAACCGTTGTGCTACTTACCTTGAATGAAGTGCTCAGTGGAGTGTTGCTGTTGAAAGACGAATTTCGAGATCTTCATGTCATAGGGAAGCTCGAAAACTGGGATTTGGGACTTACACAGTAAGTTTATAATAATAAAAACAATAAAAAAAAAATCTGATGTGTCCAACACATGACTTTCCTATCTAGTTATTACATGCTTTTTCCGGTTATTTTGTACAACCTATTGCAGCACCTCCATAAATGTTTAGAGGATAAAATAAATATATACATTTTCCACATACATCTACCTCGAAACATTTTTCTATAGATATTCATTAAAAATAAAAATGCTAAAAAATTTAAATTTAGCACTTTTCCTACAATTTTTCCATCACGGTCCATTTTAGAAAAATAATGTAAAAACAAAAATTATAGAGATCGATATCGCAAACAACTTTTATTTCAACAATTTTCATAAAAATCAGAATTTTGCACATTTTGTCAAATTTCTCGAATACGGACCATTTCAGGAAATTTTGACATAAGACAAAAATTTGAGATAATAATATTAGAAATAACTTTTATTTAAACAATTTTTTTCTTCAAACATAAATAACAGATATATTTCATAAAATATAAAAACGGCCTCCCATAAAGTACCCCCCCAGATGTTCCGACTTTGTCCAAAATCTAATCATTTCACGTCAGGACGAAATAAAACTTAAGTTAATTTAATGTTTTTTTCTTTATCCTTCTGAGTTTTCTTCAAATTTCGAAATTTACACATTTTCTCAAATATCTCGAATACGGTCCATTTTAAAGAAATGATGTAAAGAATAAAAATTATAGAGAATTATATTACAAACAACTTTTGTTTAAACAATTTTTATAAAAAAAATATTTTTTTACATTTTATCAAATTTCTCGAATACGGACCATTTTAAGAAAATTTTGTATAGAACAAAAAATTTAGATAATAATATAAGAAGTAACTTTTACTTAAAGAATTTTCTTCCCCAAACGTAAATAACAGATATATATTTCATAAAATATAAAAATGACCACCTATAAAGTACCCCCCCCAGATGTTCCGACACTGCCCAAAAACTAATCAGCACATTGGACGCTGGAACAAAGCTTAAGTTTAAAATTTGGTGTTTTTCTGTTTATCGGTTCATGAGTTATGCGACACACACACACACACACACACACACACACACACACACACACACACACACACACACACACACACACACACACACACACACACACACATACATACACACACACACACACACACACACACAAACACACACACACACACACACACACACACACACACACACACACACACACACACACACACACACACACACACACACACACACACACACACACACACACACACACACACACACACACACACACACACACAGACATCATCGCGAAAATAGTCAAAACGGATTCAGGGGACCCCAAAACGTAAAAATCCGTCGAAAACTCGAGGTCGAAAAAAATCATGATTCCTATACTTTCCTTATATCTGTATACATATAGGAAAGTAAAAAAAATAAAAACTTAATTTTTGTCACCATCTTTTAAGGGTGGTATCTCAGAAAGGGGTGGGATGAGGAAATTTTGTTATAGAAAAGATCCATCTTATTTTCATACGAGCAATCACCTCCTGAGTTTTGTCGCATGAATTTAGAAACACCCTGTATAATAATGTTTTAAATTTATAAACAACTTACCACAGCAACAGCACAGAACAATAAAACAAATAAGCAGTTCATGTTGATTTGGATGTTAACTGACAGTAATTAATTTAAAAATTAACATTTTTATACTCAATTTTGTTTTTTTTTCTTATCACTCTATTTATTGTTAGAGGACGTAAAGGTTAAATAGAAGACTTTAATGCACTAGAATTAATCGAAAATAATCTTAATGAGAGCAAATCATTATTACTATCAAATTTTTAAAATGTATTTAATTTTTGGCAGTTTAAGTATACTTTTAACCAGTTAGAAAGATTGCTTGATTTAGTTAAGTCGCCCTTGTTAGACGAGGATGATTATCATTACACACTCTTGGTTTCTATTACCCTTATTTTTGTTAAATAATCAAAGTTGAGGTTTAATGTTTCTTAAAAAATTTATAATTTTTGAAAAACCAATTTTCCTAATTTATGTAGTTATATAAAACAAGAGGAGCAATAATTCCCAAAAAGCAAAATCTACTGTCATAATTAATTCATTCCATTTTTTGGTTGCACAAAGCATCTAAGCATTTTACAGGGTCAAAAAGTAACAATTAAATTATTAATAATAAAGATAGATAATATTAAAATAACATTCTACAAAGACTGTTAACACAAAGAATAATAGCCAAAATGTTGTGAGTTTTCACAACAATAGGGAAATAAATTTTAAATCTAGAAAAAATTAAATTAGCAATACAATACTAACTCATTTCCATTAGACATCGTTAATTAATTTTAATTTAAATAAAAAAATAAAAAACCAAATAAGTATGAATATTTATATAAATATATACATAATCAACTTTTTATTGAAAAGATTTTCTAAAAAAGTTTAACATTATCAGGAAGTTTTATTGTTATGTATTTTCCAACGCAAAATAAAATTTCCATCGCAGAATTTTCGGGTGTATCTCCTTCTTTTCTAGTTGTACAGTTATCGATTACTGAATCAGCTTGGCTCTCAGAAGCTTTAAATAAATCTAAGGCTTTTCTTAATTCATCCAGATTAATATCTCCGTTATCGTTTTGAAATTTAAGTTTTTTGTGTACACATAACACTTCAGGACCTAATACTTTGGCGTTTATTGGTCCTCCATTAAATATTTTGGCAACTTCGTCTGGATCTGTATTGGTAGACTTTTGGCATTCTCTGTGAAACCCTAGATACTCTTTAAAATGTGGATCTAACTCGTCTCCGTTTACCTGAAAAGTATATATTAAATATTGACACAGCGATATACTAATTTGGGTTAATAAAGAATTTATATAATTAAATCCTAAAGGTTAATAAATCATCCGAAAACTATTTAATATTGGTTATAAGAAAAAATGTATATACTCTAGATAATAGTTTAGGGCCATTTTTTACATAAATAATTATGTTTAACCCTAGTAACAAGGAATTCCGTATTCGAAAACGGAATTACAGATTCCTTTTTTCGTATACGGAATTCCGTATTTAAACAAACACGGAAATCAGTAATTCTGTGAATTTTATATTTTGACCTATAACTTTTGATGACATAGTAACAGAATGATCTCGAATTACCTTTTAAGGTACTCTTAAAGACCGAAAGGGAATAAAAGTAAGAAGCAATTGAAATCAAAACGTTCGACCTTTGGTTTCCATACACGATGGTCATATCGCCCCATTAGTGAAACAACTAGATAACTTAAAATTTGTGCATTTTGAGCTACCCAGTTAATTATGTCCTATTTTTCATGCTCTTTTCAATGCAACAACTAGATATCATGTACGAGCAATAAAACTAATTTAAAGAGTAACTAAAAACAGATAACTCCTAATATATACATTTTATAACTAGATATCTAGTTGTAGCACTGGCATTATTGAGTTACCCGCCGACACCTTCTTGGTCGCTATGATATATATAGTTGTGTGCTTGAAACAACAGGTTTATTTCTGTGCTGATAAATTGTTTTCACGGTGTTTTTTAAACAGTGTTAATGCAAAAATGCCTTGAACAAATGTAATATCTTCTAACTTCTAACATTTCAGTCCATTCAAGTGCCATTAACCATAAGTTTATTCTAATTCGTATTTAAGAACACTAATAATAATTTTATTTTTTTTTAATATTCATATTTTATTTTCTTTTCTTCTCCTAAAACGACGCCTATGTTCGTTGTTAAGAAATAATATTAACTAGTGAAACGTAAACTCGCTTCCTCTTTTATATTTGAAATCATATAAAATACAAGTATTTTCCTAATAAAAATAAACCCTACAAATCAAAATCTATTTTAACACCACCAAACTTGAGATAAAGATATTAATCTATTTATCTCTAATTAGAATTTTGAATGCGATTCTCGACCATATTATCAAGGTGACACAAACATTGTTTACTGTCCTCTCTGTACTACTCTGAGGGGAAAGCAGACAACACATATGTTTAATATGAAGGCAAAATGTATCGAAGAAAGGTTTTATTTATAAACTTATTAATAGTAATAATTGACACAGGCACTTCGACCGTAATCCTGTGATAACTAACTGACAACTAACAAATACATGACAAAAGGTCTTTTCCTTTGCATATAAAGTATAGCACTTCTGAAAATATCGTTCCATCCATACAATTTGTTTTGTTCAGGGCCAATAAATGAAAAATATACTAATATACCCAGTTTTTGTTATAATTTACATTATTATCGTATTACTACTCTATATATTATCCTTTCCGTGTTTAAAAGTATCCAACAGTGTCTTTTTATCACGATTTTGATCCCTTTCTTGGTAATAAGTTTTAAAGTTGTTATAACATACAGTTATTTGGACTATTTACTATTGTTAGACCCATTTCCTGTAACATTATATATACTTAGTTTCTTAACAATAAATTAATTTGCATATGTGTTCCTGATAACCCTTCGCTCCGTTATCTTTGAAAGTTATATGAATTAATTGTATGTTTTAAATTTTTCGTCATACTGTACTATTATCTTACCATAATATGAGCGAAATTGATATCGAAAAGGTGCATTTAACGGCCGCCGCCCGTTAAATAAAATAACGGCCGCGCACCACCTACAACAATCACAACAATCTAAAGTTGCCTAGCAACCACATCAATATACTATACAAACATTGTAAGTTTGACAGTACTGTTTCTTGTTGAGTGATTATAGAGCGGAAAAGATCAAAGATGAAAGAAATTTTCGATATTCCCTCCGATGTACTGGAAGAAGTAGCTGCGGCAACCAAAAATTTATTTCCGAGTACAACCCAACAAAGATATCAGCAGGAATACGACAACTTCGTGAAGTGGCGTCATAATAAAAACATACATAGTGTAAGTGAAGAAGTACTGCTAGCTTATGCAAAAGGAATGTCTGAAACGTATTCTCCTACATCACTGTGGACAAAAATATCAATGCTGAAACTTGCGTTAAGAATACATGAAAACATTGACATATCAAGGTAAATTACTATACTATCCGCCAACATCGAAATTATGTTTGTTTGTAGATTCGGTAAACTATTCTTGTTCCTGAGGCGCAAAAATGAAGGTTATACCCCAAAGAAAGCCAAGGTTCTATCGGAAAATGATATACTTAAATTTTTGCTGGACGCGGATGATCATACCTGGCTACTGGAAAAGGTTGTGTTAGTGCTCGGTATTCTAGGAGCTTGCAGGAGAAGTGAACTTACGTCTCTCACCATTAACAGTTTCGAAGATACAGAGAAAAACATCCTCGTATCACTAAAAAATACTAAGAATAAAAAAGACAGAAATTTTCTTATCCCAAAAACAGGACTTCCATTTGATGCATATGGTTTATACAAGAAATACAGTAATCTGCGTCCTCCTAGTTTCAAAAATCAGAGATTTTTCGTTGGTTATAGGAATGGCAAATGTGTGCAGCAAGTCGTCGGCATACATACCATCGGAAGCGTTCCTAAGAAAATTGCCACCTTTTTAAAACTTGAAAATCCCGAACTTTATACCGGACATTCATTTCGTAGAACATCAGCAACTATGCTCGTAGAAAATGGTGGTGACTTACTGTCATTAAAAGAACTGGGAGGATGGGAATCATCAACGGTGGCGGAAACTTATATAGAAAAATCGGTTTCTAAAAGAATGAAAATAACAAAACAACTTTTTCCAAATAATCCGGAGAATATTGCATCTTCAAGTACTGCAAATAGTTCACATTCTTCAGAAACATCTTCCTCTGTAAAATCTAAATATCCTTGGGACGGGTTGCAGATTTCAAATAACACCAATTGCGAATTCAATTTCCACATCCATTACAATAAGGAATAAATTGTTTTATTCCGTAGCTATCTTTTAAGAGTTACGTTTAATAAAATTTGTTCTTAAATTAGGTGTTTTGTTTTTGTAGCAGTATGACGAAAAATCTTGAACGAAACACGGCCGATAACAGCAAATAACGGCCTTGGCTGTTTATGATCCTCGGCTATCGCCTCGGATCACAAACTTCAGCCCGGCCGTTATTTGCTATTTATCGGCCTTATAACGTTAATAACTATAAATAACAACTTACCGCTGCAACAACAACAGCAGCACAGAACAATGAAACGGTTAAAGACTTCATGTTGATTTGGACAAATAGTATGATGGGATGACTTCCCTTTTTATATAAATTCAATTTTTTCTTATTACGATATTCCAGCTAGATAACGTATATTACGTTGAAGGTTAATGAGTATCAACTTCAAAAAATACACCTAATTCAATAATTTGTTTTCGTAACGGATGGAGAAACTGCAGATCGGAACTATATATTTATTCAATGCATCAAATATAATAATAACAAACTATTATTTAATTTAAGTAAATGTAATATTAATTTACCTCTGCGCTACTTGGAATTTTCAATGAAATTATCTATGATATAATATAAGACTTGGTCAACGAAAATAATAATATTTATCGCCAACCATCAATAAAGCTTAAACGATTTGCGAAAATAAACAAACACTTTATCTCACTGTACAATATAAATATTAGTCGCAGATCAGATCAAGCTGGATTCGCTCGAAGCTATTCGCTTGACGAAAGATATTCATCTGAAATTAGGTTAGGATTATTACTCCGGGCAATTTAAACATAAAAATAGTGATGAAATAACAAAAATTCCGATAGAGTTATTATAATTGAAGCTAGTTAAATAATAAAGGCTCCCGGTATTCAAAAGATTTATTAAAAATAAATTATTACCAATGAAAACTAATTAAAAAATTAACGGCTCCCTGTATTCGGAAAATTTATTAAAAATAAATTATTACACTTGAAAACTAATTAAATATCGGTTTAAAGTCTCTCTCATGTAGACATCTGGTAGTCCATAGCTTCTACAAGAGAGAAACCCTTTCCACGAGATGTTATAAAGACTAGGGGCTGAAACAGCTCTGATTATCGACGGGGGAAGCAAGCGAATACCGCTATCACCCCCTGGTTAACGCGAAAATGGATGAAGGGTGCGAGTGCCCCCGGATTTAAATTCAATTTACTTTATTACCCTGACAGGTACTAAGGAAATTAAAAGTTCGTATTATCTTTTACTAATACGGGAAAATATTTAAATCGGGAATTATGTACAACACGGTATATGGAAGGGATATTTTCCCAAATACACAAAATTAAATATTCTGGTCAAAATAATAAAACGAAAAAAAAACGGTAATTAATTAAAACGGAGTAATTATTTTTAATCAAACGGTTGACCAACTGAGAAGTTCATAAAAATAAAAGAAAACGGGTGTTTACGATACTCCCTGTATACGGAAAATAAAGTTTACTATGATCACAGTTAACCCACCTACAACGTAAGTTCAGAAAAGGAACACGTACTATAAAATGGAACAAAGTTTTTGGAACCCCCTTGTATCTTGGTCTCGAGCGATCGGCGGTGGCAATTTTCGTCGAGTGAGAATGGTATAAATTTGCTCGGTGTTTGGACAGCGAAGGCGACGGCGATAGAAAATATTATTTTGAGATTTGCCCAAAGTCGATCAAAACGGTGTGTGAATTAATTTTATAGAAAACGTCAGGCTTGGTTTAATAATTAGTTGTTGACGGAAAACGGAATGAATAAAATATAATTGAATGAATAAATAAAAGTAAAGAGAAACTTACATGAAAAATACTGGGCGCTTCTTATAAAAATTTGCCAACGGTTTCCCACTAAGGGATGAAATGAAAAATGCTGGGCATAAATCAAAATTCTTTCACTTGTCGAATGGGTGTCCCAAACTAATTGTAAATAAAAAAAATATTATGCGGTTTCTTACCTTAGAAAAACAAACGGGATTGTTTAGCAATCTAACAATATCACGGTCACTCACTAGTCGGTGGAGAAGAGAGAAGAGCTTACGCTTGCCGGGAATCAAGAGCGTAATTCCCAGATGTGATCGAATTTATGCTTTTTCGCCGGGCAAGATTGAAGACCGCTAAACCCGAGTGGGGGATACCACCACTACAGCGGACTGTTTACAATTTAAAAATAAAAAAATGTCCTTCTAGTACCTTGACAAATAAAAGTAGATAATTGGTACGAAATCGACAAAATGCCCATTCGGATTTCGGCAAATATAGGAATATTTTAACCTACGAGGGTACTCGCATTTGTTGAAAAACGGTAATTCCTGGGAAACAAAAATACGGAATATCTTCTACATATCCTCAGGCGAGAATTAATTGAAATATATATTTTTAAATTTAATTAAAAATAAAATTTAGTGACTTCGTCACATGATCTAAATGTTTTTTATGAAATCTGTTATTCTTTTTGTTTATATTGGTTTGTTTGTCAATGTATATTATGTTTATAAAATTAATATTGAGGTAGGTAGGTGTTTTCTTTTTATTTTCCTTTCTTTTTCTTTCTTTTTCAGGACACATTTACTTATCACTCTTCCTTTTTGCGTTTTTTTTCATTATTCTTAGTGTTATATAATATTTCACTCAAATTCTATACTGTTTACCTTATGCTGTAAATGGGGAATTCCTGTAGGATACTGAAAAATACATATTTAAACAAAAAATAAAAATATCTTTAAAAATAGTGTTTATTTATAACTTATTACAATAAACTAATGCTGGTGGTGATCTTGATGTTCTCTATTAGGATTATAATCATTAAGACAACTCATCAAGGCTAGAGCAGCTTCCTCAGCAGTGATGCCAGCTTTCCTTGTTCCACAAGCAGATAAGATCTCGCTGACTTTACTAGCATCAGTTATTTCTTCTTCGATACCTTTTTTTAGTTCGTCCCTGTTTATATCCCCATTTTTTTTTTGGATTCCAATTCCGACATTCATACAGAGACTGTATTTAGGGAGTTCGGGGTCATCTACGGTTTCACCTCGTCTAAACTTTTCAAGAGTATCGCCTTTAATTTTAATGGTTGGGTTCTTTTGGCAAGCTTCGTGACTTTTCTTGATCTTGTCGCTTGTGGTTTCGGCGAATGCCTGTTTGAAGAATAAAATGTATTTAATAGTTTTGTTTGTATAGTTTATTTGCTAGTATTAGATCTAATTTAATTTGGTTTAAAGTTCAAATATATATTTTTTTAAATAATATTTCTTGATCATTTGGATTGTTATGGTATGGTTGAATAGCGAAGATGAACATAGGAATTAATTTTACCTAAATGAAGTGAAATTAAGTTAACCATCTTAACGTTTTAGATTCATTTGGATGATATAGAGCATAATTAATAAAATTCCGATAATAGCATAGCGTTTATTAAAGAATTAGCTATAAGTATGCTATTTGAAGCATGAAACGCAGGCTCATTTTAATAAATAATTTATCTGAAAGATTATTATACTTTTTCGAACCAGGGATATAAGCTTATCTACGCACAGACTTCAAAACGAAAAAGTATACTATTGCCATTAACTGAACAAATATATTTTATTATATGAGTTTCAATTAATAATGTTGGTAATAATATTAGTCATATTTTGATAAATTTTTAAAGAAGGTACCTTTGAGATCGTTGCTACGCAAGATGACAAGATTAAGTCTAACAGTTAGATAATTATTTTGCCAAGTAAATATTGAAAAAATTTTAAATTGACCAATTAAAATAAATTATTACCTAATACCTTATTTGACATTTGCAAACAATCACATTTCACCCACTGTGGCTCATTAAACTATATGAATTTTGATTTTACAAATTTACATATTTAATTTTATCATAAAAGTCGCTTCACTTTTGTCCAATATATTTTGACTTGTACATAATTTCATAAATGTATTTTTCGAAACAACAACAATAAAAATATATTTATTTTACTTACCACTGCCAAAAAGCAGAAGAAAACAACATAAACATATTTCATGATTATTTCTTAACAAAACTACCATCCTAATGCATTTTAGTGGAAGGTTTATATATAGATAAATTATTGCAGATTTTAATTGGACTGGGTCAAATACTTTGCCACTGGAATAAAAGAATATCTAATAAATAAAGTTTATCATAATATTATAAGTAAACATCCATTATAGAAAATATTACGAGAATTTTCCGTAAATAAGAATTCTTGGAAATCTGTTTATTAATAGCGGATTCGACTGGCTGCATTAATGCGCATTTAGTTCGACTTTTTTAAGTGGTGTCTGTTCGACTGGCAGAACCTAATTAATTAAAAGTCAATTATTGCATTCGACTTAAATTGCTCGGTACCAAGGCATAGTGAAATTTTTGTTCGACTGGTAGGCGCTCTTGCTTAAAGTTCGAATTTTTTGGAACTGTACTTTTTTTCAGTGCCAGTGTCATTTTGGAGGTTAGGAATTATTTAATAATTTTAAATATGTTACCATCTTTGTTTTTATTATTAGTGAGAATGGAAAATCTTTGAAATTAATAAAGATTTAATTTTTGGTTTGGCAATTATAAATAAACATCGTTAAAAATTTGTTAGAAGCCTGAAATGTCAAGTGCTAACTGTGCCAGTCGAATAACAATAAAGATGCGCTACACCAATGTCGAATTCTAGCTCGTGCTTGCTGTGTGCACTGCTAGATATAAATTTGAATTATAAAAATGTTGCCCAAAATCAATTCAGAACTAAAAGCGCTTTTTCATCGAGTAAGGGCATTTGAGTCGAATCCACTATAAGTAAATATTAAATATTATTAACAATCACAGAATTATTATGGAATTATAGAAGTTCTAAAATAGCGCATTCGACTGGTCGCACTGGTGTACATTTAGTTCGACTTGTTTAAGTGTCATATTATTTGACTGACAGAAGTAAAACAATTGTTACATTCGACTGGAATTGCCCAGCACAAGGGCAAAGCAAAATTTGTGTTCGACTGGTAGAAGCCCTTACTCAAAGTTTGAATATTTTCGAACTGTACTTTCTGTTAGTGCCAGTTAGTAATGATCAGAATAAAACTTACACACCTGTTTAATACCTCATTTAAACTAAGATATCCCTACACTGTGGATGATATGATCCCGAACCAGAAAATTTCCAAACGAAGTTTCGTTATACAGGTCAATATCTTTATTGTCTGTATTATCGAAAGTATTTGAGAAAATACTCACGAAAAGGCTGAAAGCCATCATTG